TTTCACACTTGGGTCAACTCAAATTAAGCAAATCTGTCAAACCAACTTAATATAGATATATAATGAGGTCGCATATCGTCAGGGCTGGACGGAACATGTCTCCATAAACAGAAGCAGATTTGACTTTCAACCTTGAATTCGTAGTAATGTTTCCCATAGAGCATAGCTGCTTTTCCAAATATTTGAACAGCAAAGCAGTAATTGCCTACTGGCGGTATGAAAACGTGATATGCAGTTCGAGACCCAGCAAATGATTGCCAACGTACCGTATTGTAATAAATAGGCTGAATTATGATACCTGTTATAAGGTTCCAGTGGAATTTTGAAACATCTTTTATTTCCCAAAGATGATAAGATTACGTTTGTAATTTTGTTTGATTTTGTTTGAATGGCCTTTTTCTGAATAAATTAGTTTGTGGAGTACTTTTGAATCTCCAAACCAATCAGAGTTGTGACCTTCGTAGAGATATATCGACCAATAAGATAACCCACTCAAACAAATCAGTTTGGCCGTAAATATGCTCGGACGGCTACCGCAGATCACTTGCATCTTTCGAGGCTGTAGGTTGTTGGCGCGTGTTCCATTGAATCTCTCTAGTTTCGACGATGAGGCGTATTAAAGTGAGCAATCCCATCGTTGAGCTTGATGGGGATGAAATGACTCGAGTTATATGGGCAAAAATAAAAGAAAAGGTATACAGTCCTAATTATAATTAAATTTAAAGCTTATATTCCCCTATTTGGATCTCAATTGCATTTATTTCGATCTCGGCCTGCCTAATCGAGATGCTACGAACGACCAAGTCACCATTGATGCTGCTAATGCTATCAAGGAACATTGCGTCGGGATAAAGTGTGCAACCATTACACCCGACGAGCAGCGTGTGGAGGAATTTTCACTGAAGAAAATGTGGAAGTCGCCAAACGGGACTATAAGGAACATTCTAGGGGGAACCATTTTCCGCGAGCCTATCATCTGTTCAAATATTCCCAATATTGTTCCTGGCTGGAAAAAGCCTATCATTATCGGCCGTCATGCATTTGGAGATCAGGTATTTTACAGCGTGCTGGACAGTTTTTCTCTGTGGAAGATCATAGTTACTACTACTGACTGCCTTTTGGAGAACTTGTGAATATAACGTAGCTATTCCGTAGTCGATAGACACTTTCAGCTCGACATTTTTACTAACTTTCGTAACAAGCGCCGAGAACTTTGCGCCGGAGGATTTACTCAAAGTTTTCAAGGAAATTAAAATGGGAGAGTTAATACGAACAGCAGAATCATTAAGTCGAGCTTTTCGATTACTGCTTTATGCGGCATATGTATTACTTCTTTAGTACTCCTGATAGATTTCAAATATATTTTCACGTAAATGCACGCTTCCTACTCGAGGCGAAATGTCATGTCATTTTCATTTTACCAACTGATTTTTCGCTTTCATCCGTTACGGGCTGTCTAGGCAACGCAAAACGACAAAGCATCGCGCACTTTGAAGTTCTTAAGTCCTTTCGAGCTGTTCTATGAAAATCAAGGCAAATTTTCACGGCGTAAAATAGAAGAATATATTTTCGATTTCTATTTACCTAAGACAATTGTAACCAAACGAGACTAGACGAGTCTTTGTTCTTTTGCAGCTGCTTTGGAGTTATTTTATTACACATTAATGATAATGACTCGATTGAAACCTTTGCATTTTTTACCTTTCTGCAGTATAAGGCGACCGATTTAGTAATTCCGACAGAAGGAGTGTTGGAACTACGATTTACACCCAAAAACGGGGAAGCAGAAACGTTTCGTGTATACGAATTCAAAGGAACCGGTGGCGTTGGAATGGCCATGTATAACACAGATGAGGTGCGTTGTTTTATGCAATACTAAAGTTTTGAGGTGAAGCTTAAAAAGTGACCTGTTTAAAATATATAACTTGTCAAGCTTGTTGCACTAACTATTGCACTTACGTGATTGTTAATCTTAACTTTATTGACTTCTGTTGAATTGCCTTCAGGCTTTGTCCTCCTGCGTAATGGTTTAGGTTTTTTGCCGCACCATGTTTCTTATAATTCCTCGGGGTTTTCATGTTCTCAAGTACGACGCATCGGATTAAGCATTTTCGAATGCTGCTAACCAGAACGCGTAAAATACAGGAACTTGCATCTACAAAGTTTTAGAGTATGGTGTATTGCATGCAGTCACTGCTTTTTCATTTTGCACAGTCTTTCCATTTATTAATTCAGAGCTTTCTTCCCCTTTTTTATTTCCTTCAAGAGTATTTACGGTTTCGCGCACAGCTGTTTCAAGTACGCTATTGAGAAAGAATTGCCTCTCTACCTGAGCACAAAGAACACTATTTTGAAGAAGTACGATGGACGTTTCAAAGACATTTTTGCTGAAATCTATGAGGCGTAAGTGGATGCATTTTTGAATTTAAAATTAAGTCGCATCTTTTACTTTATCCCGACGTTATGTTCCTTGATAGCATTAGCGGCATCAATGGTGACTTAATCGTTCCTAGAATGTCAATTGGGCAGACCGAAATCGAAATAAATGCAGTTAAGATCTAAATAAGGGAATATACGCTTTAAGTTTAAAAATAATTAGGACTGTGTACCTTCTCTTTTAGTTTTGCCCCTATAACTCAAATCATTTAATTCCTGAAGCATGGTGTTCATTACATCGTTTTCAGGATTTAGGGGAAGAAAACTGCCTCAGTTTTTTAGGTTATCTGTCATAGTAAAAAGTTATTAACTATAATCTCTTGAAGCGTGCTGTTGGCATTTTAACAGTTGTTGCTCCTGACGCCTCAAATGCGTAGGTTTCCTAATGCGTAGGATTATACGAAGAACTACCCGCGTATTTGGACGTTAAAAGTAGTAGGCGAATTCTATCCAGCTGTCCTCCCATAAGTTGTCACTAATAATTTTAGTTGATACAATTTTGATTTATTAAGGATCAAATTTTAAAGTAAAACGACGAAGTTAAAATAATCTTTCTGTACTCCATGTTCATTGTCAGACACTATCGTAAACAATTCGAAAAACTTGGTACCTGGTACGAACATCGACTGATCGACGACATGGTTGCACAAGCCTTGAAGTCCTCTGGGGGCTTTGTTTGGGCTTGCAAAAACTATGATGGTGACGTTCAAAGTGATATCATTGCACAAGGTATGTCTTTGTCTATCCTTCTAAGTAGCATGTACGGTTTGCTTTTTGATGCCTTTCTACCCCTCTATCCCGTATTATGGTAAGACGTTGTTGGCATAGCTGATTGGCATTGCCGTCACGTGCCTTGTAGAAGTCAACAAAAACCTTTTGTTATGACGTTCTCTAGATGAGGTAGGTACCCCTGATGTACTCTGTACTCAGTTAGTGAGTCATAGAGCTCGCCATTGACTGTTCGAACTGTCCTAACACTTACGTGATCAATTACTTACTGACCTCTTTAATTGAAACATACCATGCGTTATAACTCCATCGAAGTCAGAATGGAGCTGACTTCGGGACCAAATAAGATATTGCAAATCTCAAAAGTCCATAACTTTCTTTCTAATGGAGAACTACTTATAAAGGTCGCGATGTTGATCAACATGAAACGTGTTCCAGATGAAAATTTACATAATGACTTTCAGTTCCCCATAAAAAATTCTGTAGTCACTCAAGGTAACGGTCCGAGGCTACGTAAATTCCTTTTTCTGTGTACAGTTAAACCAAAGTACTTAGGCATCGAAATTTACTTGAAATATATGCGCTTTACTTATATATTTTTCGTTTCAAAGTGCTAATGGTTTTTTAAAGCTGCATTGGAACTGGTGTTGCTTACTTCAACTGTCGGTTATTCCAGCTTTCCCACAGTTAGTTAATTAACAGAATTATTGTCCACACTGTTTCATTTAGAATTGTCCGTCTGCTTTCAAGGGACTTAGAAGTATACCAATCTGAAAGATATTGGACTATAATGCTTTTAAAACGCAAGTACTGTTCACTTCGGACTTCAATTAGCGGCCTTTGTAGAACTACCAGAAGCCCTTTTTAGTCATCAATCGCAAAAATGTGTGCCCATAACCTAGAACACTTGACGGAAATCTACACTATGTGAAAGCCCAGTGGACACTGGGCCATGGGTGGCACACGCAGACGGACTGTTTAGTCTGCCTCCGATCGCCCTGATCTTGTCTTGCTTTCTGAGTCTTGTGGGTGAAGGAGAGTGCAGTGAACTCATTCATGCACAAGTCATAGCACACGTTGGATTTCGTCGCTCGGGGCGATCTAGCTGCAGCTCACGTACCATATTTGTCGAAAGGTGGCCTACTACAGTTTTCACGTTACGGCATCTCTGACAATCAACGTATTTTACAGCTCTAGTCTTTTGATGCAGGCGAATAGCGAACAAGCCGGATTGGTCAAGTAATAACGGCCTACTGGGCTCCAGTGCTAGGATATACGAAGCTTCCTAGTTCTGCAAGTCTGAAAATATGCAGTTTTAACCCTTCCAACGTGGATGTCTGTCTTCATCTAAGGTCTCCCTATTACTAGCACTGATTTCGGGCAAATCTAGACACCTCAGATGAGATGGTTCTTTTGCAACAGTGGCAAATGTTGTGTGTTTGGGTGTAAGACCGTCTTCTCCAAATGGGCAAGCTAAGTATTAGGGGCAACGGAAAAAGCACCTTCCGTATCTCTGTCGTTCCACTTCGCATCTCTTCATGGGCTGCTGGCCAGGACAGTTAATGCAGTAGTCGCCGGCTATTAAGCCCACGGTTAATAAGCCCAGCCGCG